GAAGATAGTCTCTTCTGTTTAGAAATCCATGTATGATTAGAAGGGACTTTTAAGGCACGTAACGTAGGTCATGGTTCATGGTTATGAAAGAAAGGGATAAAAGGCCCAAACAAGTGTTTAAGGGTGATTGAACCAAGGATCAATTCATTCTGATGTCTTCAATCATATCTTGCTCAATTTGAATCTGCTCGTATGTGTCTCTCTCTTGATGCTCTATGATCTTCGAGTGGAGTGATTCAGTGATTCAGAAATGATTGTGCTTGATCAATCTCATTTGATGCTCTATGATCTTTGAGTGAAGTGGTTCAGTGATTAGGAAATGATTGTGCTTGATCAATCTCATAGTTTGAATCTCGATGTGGCGTTTGAATTGAGAGAACCTTTGCATATGCATCTTGTTTTCTTTTTTCTTCAATTTTCCTTTTTTTCTCTTTTTATTTTCTCTTTGCTTTTTTCTCTTTTTGTTCTGATTGAATCTTCGCATTTGGCATTTGGCTCACCTTTCGGTATCTCATTTAAATCAATGTCTTCACTCATGCGAGCAGATTTTCTCCACCTTGCCCCCCAGTGTGGAGGGTGATACTTGGTTAGGGTTGAATCAGAAGAAAAATACTATAAGCTCAAAAGGGGACACAAGGGATATATATTTTCTCCTGTTATGAAGGGGTAAAGAAAGAAAGTCATTTATCATTTCATACATAGAAGCTTTCACATAAGAGGTATCCCCAAGGGGATAGATTTTCAGGATTAATTTTATTCACATAAAAACAGTGTAATTAATGCATGATAGAATTATTTCGAGTGAATTATTCTTTCTGCTTCTTGCCCCCAACATGTCTCAATGTTCAGGCTCCCTGCGAGATACCCCAAGTTGTGTCTTAGAAGAATGCTCATGTTCAAATGAACAACTCAATTGCTTGGGTTTTGATGGCATAAAAATGTCAATTTTGAGTCTAAAAAGACAATGATGTGACTTTATTGACTCAAAGAAGGGTATGGATGTATCAAAAAGATAAAGGCATTGTTAAAAAATTTCAAAGCGAGGTAATGTCAAAATTTGGTCTTTTTGGTAATGACCATGAGTTATTTTGGGTAAAGAATCAAGGTATTTTATTTTGGGATTTGATACAGGATAAGAAAGGTTTAACCTTGTCATGTGTCAAAAATCCATAATTATTGAAGAATTAAAAGAATCCTTAATTCATTTAATATTCGAAAAACTAAAGATTAAGATTTGTTCAATTGCTCCACCTTAGAAAGTAGCATAAATTCAATCGTTTAAAAGACTAAGCGAACATGAAAGATCAAAGACATTTAAAAACAAAACAATCCTCTAAGTGCAAATGATATATGTAATGCTCCTTTTTCGACTGTTCGCGCCCCTGAACCTATCAGGTTTTGGATCTCGCGCTTCAGCGCCTTATAGTTGTCAAAGAAATGTTTGGAGCATCCTATGTGGCAACTGCAAGCAGCTTCAACATCGTAGCCCTTAGGATATGTGGACTATTTTCTCAGATCATCTTGGCAGGCTTAGTCGTACAACCAACTGATCGAGCTCATTCGTTATGATTTCAATTTTTTCTTTTGATGTTACAATCTTGCTTCCATGTGGTGTCATGTGGTTAAAACCACTTCATCAAATTCTCCATGAAGAAATTTCATGTCTATGAAAATGCTTAAAAATGAAATGTAGATGTAAAATGCAAAATGCAAAATGCAAAATGCAAAATGCAAAAATGCATGAAATGTTCGAGGCATTGATCCAAAAACATATATGTTATTGTAAATACCCTTTATTGGGACAAAAGTGTTTTATCTTTTAAGAGACAATAAACATATTTAAAGGTACATCCGGACTAAATCCTCTAGACCCGGAACAGGTTGACTAGTCATTTGCCTTCGTCTTTCACCGGTTGAACAACCTGTTGAACCACTCCGGCCTCTCTGGATGAACCGTGAAAATGTTGAATTGTTTTTTGTATTGGTTCCCAAAAAGTGTTGAATGACTTCATCTCTGGCTTTCATCCTTTGTTGAATCAGAAATTCCATTGAAATCCTCCATCAAAGGGATTATCCGAAGTTCATTTGCTTGTTTCTTGAATTTGTCAACAATGACTTGCCATCTTGTTCTTGTTGTCTTTGAATTGACTCTCGAGGTCAGTAACCTTTTTCTCGTCTTTCCCCTGCCACCTTTGTCAACCCATTTTTGAAAAGTTAACTTTTGATGTACTTGATTGTGGGCACCATGTCTTCTTGATCGAATGTGACACATAGTTGTCTTGCAAATTATCCTCATTTTCTTTCTGAGTCTTTTCTGACCATAGTCGGATCCCTGCGTTTTTAATCTCTTGTATTACAAGCCCTTTGTCCATTAATGCAAATTATTTATGGTTAACGAACACGTTTTTTTTATCAACACCTCTTTTGAATGATGCAGATGATGGAAATAAAATAAAAGAGAGAAAAATTGAAAAGAGTTAGTAAGGTAAAGATAATAATAATGAAAATAAAAGGTCCTACCCCACATGCTTTAATTCCTACCCGAACATGATCTCTATCCCGCATGCTAATTCCACACAAATCCTAACCGTATATTTGTCTAGTTCGCATGCTTTGAATAGAAAGTAAAGTATGAAACAAAGCAGCTTATGGTTTGGAATGAGGTTTTGGGGTGGGCTCTAATTCTCCATAGCCTCCCGGTTTAGGTTCTAAAAAATGGGACCCGAGTTCTCCTTGCCGGTGCCCCCTTGGGCTTACCAGACCCTTAGTCCTAAGCACATTACAAGCTTATGTGGACTAAGTTAAACTCGAGAGGAAACATTCCCTTATGCCCGCACAATGAACAAATTCACACGAAGACATAAGGTATATGAATCCCAAAGGTAACTTGCTAGGCCCGCACGGAGAATAAATTCTCACGAAGGTGTCGCTTTCACCCCCACTTAAATAGGGTTCAGAGCTCGGGTATAGAGTCTTAGATGAAAAACTTTGAAAATATGAAATCATTGAAAAAATGTTAGTACAACTATTTATTTGAAAATAATCAAAGATAAATAATTAGAATTGAATAAATAAATTAAAATTTAAACTTGAAATTTTCGCTAAAAAATACAACCATAAATTAATTTCGGCCTGACTCACTTACATGTCCTCAGTGGAGTCGCCAAGCTGTCGTAACCGTATTTCGGTTGGGCCCCAAAATTGAGCTTCGACTTGAAAAATGTGAATTGGAGTCACCACCGACCACTTTAAAACGAATTTAGGTGGGTCGGACACCATCTTGCCTAATCTGCGTTTTTACCAGAAATGTGTCGGGTTCGGGAGTCGATTACGGTCAAGGAAGGATTAGCACCCTTGAACCGCCCTTTCGGTACCAATTAATTTGCCGATTATCTTAATTGCGAAAATTCAAAATTTAAATTAAAATTTAACAAACCCGATTCAAATTACTTACAATTGATTGATTTGAATATCCTTAAAAGATAAAAACATTTGACTCATAGCAGGGTATAAAATCGAATTAGGATAGCAAGTGTGCAAACGTGAGAATAATAAATAAAACAAGAAAAAAAATGAAAAAAAAACAAAGCACGTAAAAAATAAAATAAAAATAAAAATAAACAAAATGAATAAAATGTTAAAAAACAAAGACACAGGTAAAGGGAAAATATTAATAGAGTAAAAAAAATAAAAAAGGTAAAAGAAATTAAAAAGGAATAAAAATAGTGTGTACATATAAAGTAGTATTTACTAAAACAAATAAAAATAATAAATATATAATACTAAGTAAAACAAATAAAAATAAAGATTTACATGATATTAAGAAAACAAATAATAGAAAAAAATAAAATAAAGTAAAATATAATATAATATATATAATAAATAAATAAATAAAAATAGAATATTAAGAATATATATATATATATATATATATATATATATATATATATATATATAATATATATATAACGTATAAAATATAATATTAAGAAAAAATATATATACATAGTAAATGAAGAAAAATTAATACATCTATATATATATATATATAATGATTTAAGATATATATAATAAAAATAATATAATATGAATATAGTAAATAAATAAAAAAATATAATTAAAAATATATATATAGGGGACGAAATTAATATAAAAGTAAAATTAAAAGGTAAATTTTAAGGTAAATTAAATATTAAGATTGACTTAGGGGAAATATTAAATACTTTTAAAAAATGAACATGCCTCGGGAGTAGATCTAGGTTCGAAACTTTGAAACTCCACCCCTTTTTGGTCATCGGCGCAACTCACGCTTTGGGTTTTTCAAACCAAATTTCAAGAAAAATAACATGCACATGCGAGAAATGAACACTTGTATTTTTTCGTGCTTTCCTCTGTATCTTGTATGTAAATCGTTGTCTTACAAATGGGAAGGATTACATGTATTTATAGTGAAAAAACTAACTATTTTTAGAATCCTATTAACAATAGAATCCTAATGCAACTAGACTCGTTGCTCGGTTGTTGCACGTTTGTTAGTATGGTTGTTGCTTTAAAAGATATGGTAGTGGAAGAGTCCTCTTAGGAGATGAACTCTTGCTAGTTCTATCTTTTAAGAAAATGAGTGTCTACACTAAGAAAACCAGACAAATGCAGGCATACAAGGACAAAAATAGGGTAGGCCAAGGCCAAGCCTAATGCCTAAGTTTACCAAACATTTCTACCTATTCCCATTATGCAGGAGATTAGAAATTTCCTCTGTTTTAACAAAGCAATAATCATTATTAAAGCATAATATAATTACAATCAAATTTTCAACTTTGTCAACAAAAAAAAGAGAGTTATTGACTACATTTTTTATGTATATTTATTCAAAAAATAGTTATATATTTATGAAAATGTTAACGTGTCGACATCAATAATTACATGATGTTGGTTCTGGAATTATTCAAGGAAATGGCCCATCTATTCTTCACGAGGATGAACCACACAGGCAATTTCCCCTTTCAAACCGCCATGGAACACTTAAAAATACTCATCCAAAACCTTTCGATTTCATCAAATTCAAACTATTATTTTCATTTGTCCGTTTTGAATACCGTTCTTTTAGCCTAGAAGGAAACCCCATATTCTTTAACCAACGGCATACTTCAATGGAGACATCATCTGTAAACTCCAACCAGTTTCCGTTGCTTGATATGGTCCTTTTGTTTCATGTATTCTCATGTTATAACACCGTCAGATGTTTTTTCTCAAGATATTGGTCTTCTTCTTCCCCACAATCCCAAAAGATTTCTGAGTTTTCAAGCAAGGAAGATTTTTCATCTGGTGAGAGATTGTGCAGAAAAGAGGTGGAAAACTTGATGGTAAATCTGGGGATTTTGTGCAGCCACGAGATTGGGGAAGAAGAGTTGAATGAATCACTGGGGTGCGAGGAGATTTCGAGGTTGTTTGAAGGAGAGCCGAGCTTGGAAGAAGTGAAGGAAGCTTTTGATGTTTTTGATGTGAATAGAGATGGGTTTATTGATGCAAAGGAATTGCAGAGAGTCCTTTGTGCTTTGGGATTGAAAGAAGGTTTGAAGCTGGAAAACTGCTTCAAGATAATCCGAACATTTGATGAAGACGGCGATGGCAGAATAGATTTTCAGAAATTCGTCAAACTTATGGGGAATAGTTTTTGCTGAATCACTTCTTTCTTCTTTTCTATCATCATTAATTTAATCCTCATTTCTTCTTATGATGTATATATTTATTGATTTTGCTTCTTTTGTTGTTGTAACTTTGTTTATGAAAATGTCATTGGAAATGGACAGATTAACAACCTGAAATCAATGCATGAGACTTCAATTTAAACAATCAAAACTCAGTTAAAAAAAGGACATGTATTAATTAATATACTACGAAGAAATAAATATATAAAAATCCATATGTCATAAGTGGAATTGAACCCACACTCTCTGTTGAGAATCAGAACTTTGGTCTGGCACCTTAGATCACCATTCAGCCATCCTGGTCCTTATGCATGCTTATTTTATTTTTATTTTTTTATGTTATGTTATTTTTATGTTTTTATTATTTTAATTTTAATTATTTTTCTAATAATTCCTTATTTCGTTATTTAAACCTTTAGACTTTGTTCTTAGATTAGATTAACCTTTGATCGAATTTAGAAATTAGGATGACACTCTAGTTTAATTAAGGAGCAATTCGACTCGAGTTTTCGCATAAAATGCCCGATTAGTCGAATCGATTACTCTACTTTTTAAAATTTATTAATAATTAATATTTTCTAAAAAATAGTTTAGGTTTAATGATTTAGATAATAATTAGGTTTTTTTTGTTATTATTTAGTCCTCAACTTTAGAAATTATTGATTTAGGTCCTTAAACTTTTAGTCTTTTAGAACTCGATATTTTAGACCTTGACCCTTTTAGTCCCTGAACTTCAATTAGAGATTTAATATTGACATAATTAAATAGGTTAAATAGAGCTTCCATTTTTAGTTATATTTCAATATAGTTATCTTAATTTAGGGAATAATCCAAGTATGCCTTCGCGTAAATGCTCGAGGGACCATCTCGGTTATTCGATTCAATAATTGTTTTAAAAATCAAACATGGTTAATATTAGAGCCTACATTTAGGTTTAACCCCTATGTTCCTTAATTTTCATAATTCGACACTTCAAGTTAGAAAGAGCCTTGATTTACTCTTAGCTTAATTAGGATAAATAAAAATTTGTTTGATTACATTTTATTTTTAACCCTATGGCAATGTTCACTTATTAGAGAATTAATGGTATATCTCTCGCAAGTATGCTAAGGGGGTGACTACAAGTGATTCCCGAAATAGGTCGACATCATTTTCAAAACCGCATCATGATTTTTAAAATTAATGCAATGTATGGTCATTAGGCACAATAGCTGATCTCCCACCTTTATGCTAGGGGGCGAATGCTATCGGTCTTAATAAACGGATGCCCTTTTCAACTTTGCATCTGTAATGATTTTAAAATTAAATAAAGGTTGAACTCAAAATTTCTGATTTTAAATATAGAGTAATCAACTAGGTACATATTTTTGAGCGCTTGTGGGGGAGCTAATCCTTCTCCACGTGTAACTGACTCCCGAACCTGATTTTTGGATTTTCACAGACCTCAAAACTTGATATTTTGATAAAAATAAAATATTTTATTAAAATCACCTGGTTTTCACAGTGTTTTAATCGCACCTTAAATGATTGGTGGTGACTCCTCACATTTCAAAAACTCTTTTCAAAAGAGAAAACCCCCGAGTCGGTATCGGTCTTTCCCCGCCTGGGTGAAAAACGGTATCGACAGCTTGGCGAATCTGCTGGGGATGTTTTGTTTTTAAAAAACCAACTAGAGATTCTGGAAATTATGAGTTCGATCTTGTTTAATTTACAGTTCGTTATGATATTTCAAATCAAAAAAAGATTTTCTCTCTGGTTAATGCTTACCTTCCGAAATTATTTGAGACTATTGCATATCATAGATATAAACCAGAGCTCTAACCCAGTTTACCTAAGTAGGGAGAAACGTCACACCTCACGAGGAGCATTAGTCTTCCTTGTGTGGGTTTGATAAAGTGTCTCTGGAAAGTATCCTAAGTTGCCTTTTCGGATATTAGTTCTAAGTCACGCTTTTAGAGGTGTGATCCCCTGAGACAAATCTGACTCACATGTCTATAATGGGCCAAAATCGAAGTCAACCTTAGCAGGTTGTAAAGATGGCTCAGGAACCTTTGTCGTAACACTCCCAACCCATATCCGACCCAGATTCAAGTCCGAGGTGTCACATTGACTTTTCAAAACTTATACTTGTATACAAATATGAAAATTTCCCCATTATATTAAATAAAACTTAATAATTCATATTATTGCAAATAAAAGGTTTACAAAACTGATCAGAGCGTATATAATTCAAAACATTAATTACATGCCAACTACTTTCAATAAACAAAATACATATGATTCAAAACTCTTTTATGATCTGATTATAGGAACTGAGAAGCTAACTTGTCTTGCCTTGTCTATCATTGCTTTGTTCCTCTTTTTGCATCCAGGAACCTACGTGTGAAGCACTTCACACGCTAAGTTGATGACTTAGTGAGACATTAAACTGATAAAGGAAACTCTAACAACTTAACCATGCATGAACTGTAACATCCCAAAATGTGGGCTAGTGACCAAAATACAAATTTTGAAAGTTTGATGGTCAAAGTAGAAAATTTGGGAAAAAATTAAAGACATAAGTAGTATTTTTCCCAAAAATAATTTATTCCATAAATGGATTTAGTTAGTGACCGAATTAAAAGATTTTGGAAGCTTGGTGACCAAAATATAAACATTAGAAAAGTTCAAAGACCAAATGGTAATTTCAAATAGTTACATTTGGTTTCGAAAATAAGGAAATAAATATATTATTTTCACATTTTTAAATGTTGGAAATAATATTTAAGGATTTAATTCCATATTTAATTTGGATTGTTGGATTAAAGTGAGAGAATTGTAAGTTATTAAAGTGAGAGAATTGTAAGTTTTGGAAATTTCAAGGGCAAAATGGTAGAGTGGGAAAATATTTTGTACATATTTGACTGTGGAAGATGATAAGGTTATTGTAGCTTGGTATTAATATAAATATCAAGTTCATTAAGGGTAAATTAGTATAGATATTTTGATTTCAAGGGTAAAGTGGAAATTTGACATTTAATGAATTTTATATTTAATATTTAATTAAGAAAGATGAAGAAACATCATATGATTTATTCATCTTCTTCAGCAGCAAACGTGAGCTCCTCCCAAGGTAAGAAAGAAATTTTGTTTTCAATTTTTGAGCTAATTCCTTTGGAATTCAAGTTATATCGTAAAATAGGAAAGTGATCTACGCGAAAAACGCTATCATTTAGTACCAATATTTCTTTCTAATCTTGTTGGATTTCAAAGATCCCAAATCTAAGGGTTTATGTTCATGATAGGATTCGTGAAATTGATGATAAACTTGATGATTTAGAGGTTATAGATTCATTTTCAAGCTTGAGTTTTGGTTAAAACATGTTCAATCTTTATAGAAATTATTCTTTGGAAATTCGAACATTATGAATTTGAGTGAGAAAAATTATGGAAAATTATATATGGTCTGGAAATGATATAGGAAGTATTCTACAAGTCTTAGAAAATTCGAGGATCATTTTGTAATTTTTTAAAAGTTGGGGGACCAATTCGATGGTTTTGGAAAAGTTGTGAATGATTGTAAAATTGTTTAATAGTGGATGTACTATGCTGGAAATTGTTGTTTTGGAATTAAAATGAGCATTTAGATGTGAAATATGACCATTTTGGAAGTTTGGAAAGATTGGTGATTTAAGTGCAACATTCACATAGTTAGTGTACCGATACACTAAGGATAGTATCCATACACCCTTGAATTGAAAGTTTTCGAATGTAATTTATGTATTGATACATAGGTAGTGTACCGATACACTAAAAAGGGAAATGGAAATAGATCTTTCTTTTAGTATAAGAAAAGAAGGATCGAATCATAATATTTGGAATGTTGATATGGATATTATATGTATGATTGTATATATATTGAGCACAAGCAAGTTCTGAAATGACTGCAAAGTTAGGATCAATCCAAAGAGATAAATCATAGAAGTGGATTTGGATTTATAAAGTGTCAAGGTGAGTGCAATTTAATTTGTACTTATGTTATCGAACAAACATTGGCTTGCGATGAGCCAGTGACGGAGTTACTATGGTAAGAAGTGACTCCTAAAATATTATTTGATTTGTGATTGATGGAATTCTTATATGTGTATAAGTATATGAAAATGGGTATATGTTTCATACGTTATTATATGTGACATGATCTACATGATTACATGTATATGCGATATGTGATAATGAACTACATGAATATATGAAATTATAATACAAGCTATGTGGTATTGACATAAGTGATTATAGGAATGTGTAATATAAGATACGTGAATTCAATATAAGTGATTATGTAAAACTGTGAGATAATTTATATAGCATTGATATATGGACTATATGAAAGTATGTACATCAATACCTGTATAAGTTTATATGTTATTCTATATGCTATGTGATGTATATATGAACATATGTGAACAAGATATGACATACGTGTTTATATGAACACATGAGAAATGATATAAGCTATATGATACGATCTATGTGATTACATGCACATGTGATATATATCACATGATATGAACCTATGTGATATGGGTTATATGACAAGAATGAATACAAGTTACATGAGAACGAGATATGAGATTACATGTTTATATGATACAAGTGATGTGAACTGTTATAAATGATAATGCCCATGTTATATGATACGAGAGCTATACGTATAGTTGGCATGCCAAGAGTCGAGGGTCTACGCGGTCCTTCAGGACATATACAGAGGTCCTTCGGGACAAATACATAGGTTCTTCAGGAAATATTTCACATGCCCCTAGTGGGACCCCATACGAGCTTTGGTGACAGCATAAGTGCACAACCTCAATATACTCGCATACCTTGAGTTCTCAGTAATGTACATGGGCTTATAAAAGATATCAAAAGTCTTTGCATTATTATATGATATACTGTTATTATTGTTTACAACGACTAACATGTGTACATGGGCTAATAAGAGATAATAACAAATACATTATATGT